GGGGGGTACGCTGGGATAATCAGAGAAGAAGTTACTTCCACATCCGTGGTCTCCCTAAGCGACAAGAGACCCGTGTTATTTAAAAGACACATCAAAGCTTATGCGCGTTCTGGGTATAACACAAGAAGAGATCTTCCCAAGTTTCCATACACTAAAGACCCGAACAATTTAAAAGGCACATCAAAGAATCTTCCCGTTCTAAGCGTAGTACAGAATGTGTAAACAGACTTTCATAGAGTGCCCTCTGGAAAGAGACCCTGTGCCCTCATTTTCGCAATACGTTTTACCTTTTTTTTTATTGCAACAAACCGCTATCTGTTCCGTTTCATACGAGATTTAGAACAGCCTTTTTTCAAAGCCGAACGGGTGTCTGTGGTGTAGTATTTTGATGCTTCACTGTTGTACTCAGGTGACCCGAATTCGATTCCTGAGTGGGAAGAGCATTTTTATTGAGAATGTCGGTCTTTTTGTTGGGATGTTGTATCCCTTTCTGCCCGGTATAGCCTTTAAAGGCAGGGTAGGAAACCCGACTCCTAAAGAATCTAAATTGTGTCGATAGAGTCGTAAAAACACCTTTTTTTTAAATCGAAAAAAAGTTGGTCTCTTAATTACGTAAGAATTAACAATGTATAGCTTAAATTTGTTTGCCTGCTTGCGTTTTTCTTTTCTTTCCCCCTCCGCTGTCGATGCTAGTTTCTCGCTTGATATTATCCAAGACGGCATATCTCAACGCAAGATTCTATTTTTATGTCACACGCGGGGCTTTTATCTTCCCTTTTCGAAGCCCAAGATTCAGTTGGCTTAAAGAAGATTGAACGTGTCAGTAAAAGAAAGCTGAAGGGAAAAGAAAATTGCCCGAATGTTGGCATCCATGTTAGTGTGACCGACTATCACTATCAGGCAACTATTGGCTAAATGTCTCCTAGAATCTAGGCGGAAGAAGTAACGAAAAATAATATAAGGTGACGGTATAGAAATATATAGTCCTTTTATTTGTGTATCATTACATCTATATATTCGTTCCACATCCTATGTTCTCTATCTATCTATCATATATATATATATATATATATATATATATATATATATATATATATATATATATATAAAATTTCTCTCCCCCATATACTGTTTTCATTTGTCTTTTTCCCGGAGTGTCACGTTATTTCTGTCTCTGTTTCGTTTGCCCGGGTTTCTGTAAAGATAGATAATTTGGCACGCATACGCTCGCGCGCGCACGCACACACACACACACCTAACATACACACACATACACACACAAACACACACACACACACACACACACTCAAATAAATTTAAAAATAGAGATACCGAGAGAGAGAGAGAGAGAGAGAGAGAGAGAGAGAGAGAGAGAGAAAGAGTGAGAGAGAGAGGGAGAAAGAGAGAGAGAGAGAGAGAGAGAGAGAGGGAGAGAGGGGGGGGAGGGGGATTAGAAAGAATGGAGGGTAGGGGAATGAAGGAGAAAGAGAAAGGGGAAATGAGATTCTACCCCCCACCCGTCCCACCCCACTCTCCTTTGGGTTTGTTACAAAGAGATACGAACATTTCAGAATACTAATGAAGTAAATTGCTTAAACTGTCTACAAACAGACAGTCGGTAAGGCATTCACCCCATCCATACTCTGGGATTTATTCCAGTCCGTTACATATTTGAAGAGAGTTGTCTCTACATGCCAACATAAGTTTCCTTTAAATCCCCAGAGAAATGTCATAATATGTTTCTGAGAACATGGAAACGGTTTTACGCTCCTTCAGTTGTCAGGATTCTCTCGTGTTCTAGAAAGTTATGGAAACGGCTAGGGGCAGGTACTGTCTAAGTGTTGGTGTTTAGGATGGTGAGTGTTTATGTGACTTGAAAATCAATGTGACATTATTTGATTCGATGCGCGTAGAAATGAGATGAAGGAACAATGTCATAGGTTTTGGTGGGTTAAGGAAACAGTATTGTGATGACTTTACACTCAAGTTGGTTTTAATTTGACTCAAGTATTTTCGAAAAAGCAGAGGAAATTCAAGGAAAATGCATAACATGCCTTGAGTGGGAGATGAAAGATTGCCAATGATTTCTCTATCACGATAAAGCAGTGTTTTTCGGCACTCAAACTTTACTTCAGCACTCCCTTCACACGACAACCTAAAAAAGCAACACCATCATCTCCGAATCATTGTATCTAGAACAGAAGAGACTTGTATGATGGAAGCAAATAGGATCGTGTATTTCTTACATACTCTCGGACTTCTCTTGTGGTGGCTTCCATTCCCATGCTGTAGGTGTGGGTCGAATGGGAGTATCGCGTGTCCGGAGATGTGCACTTGCGAGAGTAATTTGACACCTAACAACACAGCTGGCGTCATAGTTACGTGCAATCTGACGGACACGTTGACAACTTTACCACAAATGGATCCAAAGGATGCTGAGACAGTAACGGAACTGTGAGTATTCTGGGCTAGATACGACAATAATATTATGCTGGTAATTCTGTTTTTAAGGGGTGATTTTCTTGTTTTTGTTTTATTAAGAGTTTTACAGCACTTGAAATACAAATAAAATCATAGAAGAGCCGAAGATTGGAAGTGGCATCAGAGAGTAACATGCAGATAAAAGAAATAGGAGATAAAATAAGGAATATATATATATATAATATGAAAGAAAGAGTAAACTACTCAAGAGCAATCATCAACCAACCACATTATCCAGGAGAGCAGCGATCTGAAATCTGTCGCCACAATTTTTTATGTATACTTGTGTGTGCGTGGGGAAGAATGGGGGGTATCTTGGTGGAATACAAATGTTAACGTTATTGTAGTTGGGATTGGAATTTGTTTAATATTCTTACGCTGTCAGATAGTAGAGACTCCTCTGCCGTTGAAGTTTAAAGTCTTACGAGACGCAAAGTAGGTCCTTGTAGAATTATGTACTGGCTAAGACATCGAACCGTGACGAAGAATCCAAGGGAATTGAGAAGTATAATTTTAATACCATTCGCATTTGAATTTCAATTTTCTGCAGTACATGTGAAAATCGTTACTTTCAGCTCCATGGCGACCTGTTGGTCAGTCTGTGTACCGATACGAAAGTAATTAAATCATAAAGGAGTGTCCATTTCCATTTCAAATGTATACAAATTACATTTAATGGTTCAGACATTGAACTCTTTCCTTCGACATATTCAATTGAACAACCAACACAGAGGTGAATGCAGGAAGTTATTATGATAACATGCAGCTGATAAAGAAAATAGAAAGAGCGGAAAAGCGAAAATCAGAGCCACACACAGGAATGTTAATATGTTCCTTGCGTCGTTTTAGAGCTTCTCTTTTCTTGTTTGTTGTCTCCCCCAAAATTTATATTTTTGCCGACAAGGAAGTTCATCCTCACCTCTCAACCCGCACCCCTTAATATCCCACCCCTTATTCACACCTCTCAACTCCATTCTCCCTTCAACCCCACCCCTTATCCTCTGTGACACGTCTCAGTTTCACTTCTCAGTTCCACCCCTCATCCCAACTCCCTTTCCCTCCCCGCATCCCCACCCCTTAACCCCATCCCTCATCCCCTCCCTTCATTCCCGCTCATCATCACCCCTCATTCCCTCTTTTGTTCTATTTTCCTCACCACGCCGTATTCTTTAAAAGTGCTTTCTAGAACCACGTCTGGGTTGCGAGAAAATCTCTCTCCCTCTCTCTCTCTCTCTCTCTCTCTCTCTCTCTCTCTCTCTCTCTCTCTCTCT